CTGTACGTACACACACAAACACACAAATTATTTATATACATACACACACAAACACACTTGAGTCTTTTTTTGATACCATAAATAAAAAACCAGACCTCATTATCACGATCTAACAGAACTCACTCGACCAACCACCTCCCCTCCCAAATCAGAAACACAAAGCTAAAAAGTGGGAAATCAAAATCGGACATTAATATTGGCCCAGTTTTACATATGGGACCGATGCAATATTCTAAAAAATGACCAATATTGGCCGATACTGATGTTGATGCCAATATATCATACATCTCTACCTAAAACTAGACAAACTGAACTATGTAATAAAGTTTTAAAGACAAAACTATAATTGTATTATCTGTTGTATTTACTATACATTWTATGATCTTAATAACTTAGCTTGAAAACCACTGAAAAAGCACGACTGAAAACAAACTTGACCTTCCTTCCTTTGTATGTGTGTAATATAACAGAGATTACAGCAACCTACTAGTATAGGTTCCATGAAAAAGCTAAGTCTACAAACTGTCAAGCTCAACTTTGCAGCGCTTCTCTGGACTGATACATGTACTTTTTCTTTTCTTCAGGGTCTTGTTCCAGCAGGGATCCGCTTGATTCCTCACACAGTGCTCACCTTTATTTTCCTTGAGCAGCTCAAGAAAAACTTCGGCATCCGCATCGTCTCGTGAGCTGCGTGTCACCGCTGCTCGTCGCACTGCTCCTCATCATCCTGCTCCTTCATTATTTACAAGAGAAGAAGGGAAGAAAGGAGAAGTGAATTTGTTGAATCCCCTCTTTTTATTTCTGTTTGTTAGGATAATCAATTAAAAACACAGCTAATGTAACGGTACTGTAATGGTGTTATAATAAGAAGAATATTCAAATTATGGTCTGGCAGATGATTGCCTGAATTTTATTCTTCTTACAAAAACTGTTAACTTCAGCTGATTCCAGATTACATCTAATCCAGATTAAGCCTAATTTAATGGGGTGTGATGCCTCAGAGTTCATGATGTTAGACATAAAAACAAACTGTAGCTTCTTTTTACTAATTCTTTACACCAGTCAGTCATTACTAATAATGCAGGAGAGTTTTCAGCAGCAGTTATCAGTATCACCTGACCAAACTTACAGATTAATTCCTATGCCTTAACTTCAGATAAACTGGTACGTGTTGACACTAAAATATTCACACCAGTGGTGACCAAATGTTGTTTTCACCTCGAATATTGTTTGCATTTTCTTCACTTGATTTTTGTATTTTAATTTTTTTTAGAACTGGAAATCGACTACTGATGGGTGAAAATCTTAGCTGATATTTCGTCCTTTCATTCCACTCTTGCTGTGTTTTGTCTCTTCTGGAAGGGAGAGGGACCAGAGCTTGATTCTGTTGGGTTTTCACTTTTAACTAAGAAAGAGGGGTTAGTGAGGAAACTGTGAAAAAGAAAGCCCGCTGCTTTACTTTTGCGACATCAACATAAATTTCTGAGTGCGTTTAACCTCTGAGACGTGAGTGTGCTGTAGTTTACAAGAGCTGCATTTCAACCTGTAATGTGAGAATGGGAACTAGTTGAACATGTCCAACGTTATAACTCAGGATGTTCCCTGTTTTATACAGCATCTTCTACTGACTGATCTGCTGCATGACATCTGAATTCAGACCGTTTAGAATTAAAATGTGAATGAGAATGTTTCTGACGTCTGTCTCTGTAATAAGTTTGGTTTGGGTTTTAAACAGTTTGCTTTACTGTGCCTGTTCTGTTTCTGGACTTATTGTAAACTCATYTTGCCTTACAGTATCTGTCCTGTAGGGGGCGGTGTTGTAACATCGTAYGCATCCTTTTTTTTATGCATCTGAAGATTCAGTCTTAGGATATATTTTTGAAAACATACCTCTGACTGACTTCTTTTACACTCAKAGATTAAACAGTACAGCTGTAGGTCAGTAAAGTTAAATTTTATATGTCTTTAATAATTTTGGAAATAAAGTACTAATTAAAACTGGACTTTTTGGAATTATTTACGTAAATGTGATTTGTATAAATCACACCATGTGTTTTAAACATTTTTAAATAGATCATCTGCTGACACTATGCTGAAAAATGTATCTTCTGATTAAACAGACAGATCTTTGTTTTTCTGCTGCCACTGTCTCACAGCTCAGATGTGATTGTGAGTCAGGCTTCACCTTCAGGTATCTGCCCTCACCAGAACAAGGACGCAATTTAATGCTCTGCCTCTCACATTTTTCAGTTTTACATCAGTAGTTATGTTGTAGAATGATGGCCTCTCTCTCTGTGTGGTTAATTGGTGACATTCAGGCATCATGATGAATGGAAGCTGGGTTTCTCAACCCCGATGAACATTTCTGCCCTTTTACGTATTGATCTAATGCAGGGGTGGGCAATCCTGGTCCTCGAGGGCCGCAGCCCTGCATGTTTTATTATTTTCTCTGCTCAAACACACCTGATTTGAATGAAGGGTGATTATCAGGCTTCTGCAGTACGGAGGACCGAAACTGACATAATTAAAAATAAAAGCGGAAATATATAAATTGACTAATAAATAACTATACTTAAAGTGCACCAATAAAATTCAAAAAGGAGAATTTTATTTTATATATATATATAT